TGACTTTATTTCGTAACTTCAAAAATTGCCACAGCCCTGTGAGCTTCAGGCACTTTTTTAAGAAATAATGGCTCCTTCGGCTTCTATTTCCTATAGAGTACTTATAATTATTTGCAATATTATTTTCATCATCATCATCCAATATCACCTTGTATTGCTAGGTTGGCAAAAATACAATTACAATGTATCTTTACCTCAATCATCACTACTACAATGATCTGCAACAAGAAGTTACATTCTGATTGCATTGATGACAACAAAGGATGATATACACTGAAGTACAAAATTACTAAGTACTGAGGTCTGGTGATGGGAATTCCAGGCATTGTTTATTTTTTGTATAAAATACCAGTATTATTAGTGTTTCTGACTCATCTATTGTTTAGAGGCAAGTGCACAATGGGTATTGTAACAGTAGGCTTACAATTATTTACATACATTATTGTATGACAGATCAATGTCTCTGAGTACATCAAATAAAAAACTTGAATAATTCCAAAGTCCATTAAAAAATTATTTTACAGTATAAAAAATATTTGACTAATTTATTTGCGATTGACAGTAATATTATTTTGCAATAATTAAATTAGGAAGAAAAATCTTGGTTATAGTTGTACAATATGATCCTACATAATTTTAGTGGAATTTTTGCAGAAACGGATACAAAACACAACAGAATGCTTTAACAGTTTATGTTAAAAATGAAAACTACTGCAGGAAGAATTAAAAAATATTGCATGCCATTATGACAAGATTTTATAATTATGTAAAATTATAAGATACCACCATGTGTTCATCTGTATCTACTGCAGTTTAAAGCTCTGTCCAGATTATCAAATTTTCATTGACAAAAAAATGGTTGGATGCCCATATATAGTCATGATGTGCTTATATATGGTCATGATGTACCTATATATGGTCATGATGTGATGTCATCATGACCATATTTTAGGCAAAACAATTTTTTTTTTTCAAATGAAATCATGTGGACAGGACTTTAAGTGTAGGCCTAGAGTCAGCTACAGTAGTTCTGACTGAAATCTGCTCTACTGTACATTGAATATGCATGGTTTTACCAGATCACTAGAATCTTTTAAGCTACCTTCTGTTAAGGTTTTACAATAACATGAACTGAACCAGATTCAAAAAGCATGACTAAGTTTCAACCATCAATCACATCGATAAGTTGTTGCATACAGTACAATGATTTGTAATACAACAACATGATTTTAACAAAGTCTGTAAATTTATAAAAAGCAATGACTCCTTTTCATCTCAGGCCTATAAACCTTGTCCTTTTGTTGAACTTCAGAATGTTGCTAGTGGAAACCAGCCATCAATATTGTATAATTTGTACATAATTTGGCAAAGAACAAATTTGATATTAACTCACAGTATAATTACTGTAAGGTAGTGGGAGGTGATGTGTTTACCAGGGATGAATACTTAATCTTAGATATTGTCTCTGGTAAATCCTATAAAATCCATCAAAAAATAAACATAAAATTACTCTGTTTTAAAATTACAGCTTAAACTACAGTAAGTACAGTAGTTAAATAAAAGACAAATAAATATATTTCAATTTTGGCTTGTTTGCAGACATACAGTATATCTTTATTTATAGAAATTATCAGCCAATAAAAATATTCTGCACAAAATTAAAATAATTACTGCACTACAGTATTCTATTATCAGTGTCTGCTAGTTTTTTCTTATTAAACAATTAAAACAAATAAATAACTAACAATTTCATAGTTATGATTTATTAAAAATTTTATTTATAATTTTTAAAGCTTATTACTATAGCTCATAACTGAGTATTATCATGAAAATATGTCATAATAATTACAAGTTACAAAAACACAATTATTATGTATTATAGTTTAAAAATCACAACAATCATAATTATAGTTAGGCAAATTATAAATTAATTTAGTATTAGGTGTCATGCCCATATAGATTGAGAGACTATATAATATGCCAACTGTAGTCAATGTTTAGCCTGTCTCTTATACACATCTAGATGTGTATAAGAGACAGACTCTAAATAGTAATGAGTGGATTTATAGGATGGAAAAGTGGTTTAATATGTGTGGGTGGAGGGCCATGGAATTAGCCTTAGACTGGGTGGAACACTTCAAGGCTGGGTGGCATTGCCTACCATAAATACTGTACATCCCTGCACAAGCTGACAAACTGAAAATCGAAATTGAATTTGCCTTCATTATTTTTTGACTATTGGAAATAAGCATCCTGAAATTTATATCCTTTTGATTAGTTGTGATGCAGTGTACCAATTTACTGTACACTTATTGGAATACCGAGGTTAAGTCATTGACATTAATTTCCATAGCCAACAGGTATTTTTAAAAAATATACACCACAAAGCATTTTTAGAGGTATTTTGTTAAATTATTCGGACAGCTGTTGGCTGCTCTTTTTTGAATATCAACAAACAATATTGATAAAAATATAATACTGTATAGTACACTCACAATTGCTCCTGAAATTGATAATAAATTTTCACTTACTCCAATCCAGATCAGGTGCAGATCCAGAAACAAATATGGGTACTGTAGACAGTGTAGGGGGCATGCTACATGCAGAGCACCGAGCGGTAGGGGTTTGACCATAGACACTAGTACATGGAGTTTAAATCAAAAATTGTAGCCCAGCCGATTAGTACCGTACTCTCCTCTCTAGCTCCTTTCTTTTTCTTTCTTTCCATTTCTCTCTCTTGTTATTTTGACAGGGATGGCAATGGAGCCCTAGCTCTCCATTGCCATCCACCCCTTCCCTGATTCACCATTTTTAGACTATGTTTAGTGGTATCAAACCAAGGACTTATAACTGTTTCCAGTATAGGAAGCTGGCTGGTTTAAGCCGTCTCTTGAATTAGCCTTATGTGCGGTATTGTTATGCTAATGAGCCAGATAAGCACAATCTGCACATGCTCAGAAAAACAAAGCTTTCCGTTGCCACACTTATCGGCTAGGCGTACAGCTAGGCCTGCCAAGGATTACGGTATGGTAAACAAGGAAAAGGCGTATAAAAATCAAAAATTGGCGTTTGTGAGCAATACATTTTTTAGTAGTAAGTATATGAATAATTTTAATGCACTAGTTAGTTGATAACTTCATTCTAATTTGTTTTGGGTCTTTTTTCTGCATTTTTATAAGCAGTTAGACATAGCCTAGGCTAGCCAACAAAGCAAAATCACATCAATTTAAAAACAAATCTGTGAACATACTTGCCGAATATCTTAAATAGCAGGTGATTTTATTGGTAGATTAGTTTGTTTTTAAGTGTGTAAATATGATTGATTTGCATGCCAAGTGAAATTTGTACCCTTATTTTGCTTTGTTTTACCGTATCGTAATTCTCGGCTAGGCCTAGCTGTATGCCAAGCCGATACGCAGTGCGGGCCGCATTGACTATTAAGGAAAGTTTTGTTTTTCTGAGCATGTGCAGATTGTGCTTATCTGGCTCATTAGCATAACAATACTGCACATAAGGCTAATTCAAGTTAGACGGCTTAAACCAGCCAGCTTCTTGATCAAACAAAACATATTTTTCCCATTGGGATTAATTTGACCAATCAGGATTGTTGAGGCATGCAATGTTTTTAGATCAATTAAGTGTGTAACTAGAGCATAAATGGCTGGTTTATGGATGACAGCATTAATGTATCCAGTGTGTTGAAACTAATTTATTAAACATTTGCAAAGAAAAAAACATGTTTTTTCAGATAACAACATTTAGGAAAGTAATTCATGAACTGGACAATGAATCCCTTGATAATAGGCTGCTGAAAATACATTTAATGGTTCCCGTCAGCACTTTTGGAAAAAATTGTTACGGGTTTTTGTCAACTTTTACCTTCCATCAAAGTATGGTTCAAAGATCGCGTTTATTTAAAATATGGATGTATGGTGGTCCGGACAATTACTCACTCTGTGATCGATTAAACATTCAATATGAGCAAATGTCACTTCAAGCAAATGCCAGTTCGAGCGGATGTCACTTTGCGCGAATGAAACTTAAAAACGAAAACGGATTTAGTTTTGCAAACATTTAAATTGGACAAATTTCTTATTTTGACTGAACATGTTCTTCACCCTCTTCGGATTCAAATTTGCTATATCTTAGCAGTTTTCTTCTGTCTAGTCTTACACATATTTGGCAGTTGGCGTATAGCCCTTCCCCCACAAAAAGCTTGCTCACCCCCCACTCTATTCGCCGCTCCATCAAAAATGTTTGAGGGAAAAAGAAATCATGCTCAAGTAGTTAAAAATCAAACCTTATTTTGTGAGCTAGCAACCCGAAGACTAATTTTTTATTTGGGTGGGGCCTAAAAAGTGGGCGGCTGACAAGAACCATGTAATGTATTTCCAGCGGCCTTATGGTCAGAAAAGTTCACAGAAATATTGACAACCAACCCAAACAGAAAAGACTAGGAAAGTACATGAAATCAATTCTATTATACTGTGAAAGGTTCTTCAATGTAAAGACTGAAGGTTTTTTCAAACTTACATGACAGTTTCTTTCGCTGACAGCTACCATTATCAATAATGACTGGAATGTACAGGTTAATTCTATTAGTTGTCAACTGGTCTGTAAACTACTACTGTAGTACAGTATTTAAGTTGGTTAATGATGGTTGGTTTGGATGATGATGATTGTCAAAAATTACTAAAGTATTTTGTACATGAAAAAACTTACTAAAATTTATCCTTACAATACTTTAATTCAAGCAAAACCCAACCAATAAATCAAAAATGTCAAATGAATGTTATCGATTGATTGTTTAATGTTTTTTTGTTTTTGTTTGTTTGGTTTTTTTTTTCAAGTTGAATATGTTTACAGTATGAATACTGTATGACTATGAATGATAGTTACAAAGTCAAAAGTAGTTTTGAAGTACATACGAGCTCCATCTCTCGTAGGCCTAGCGTATTTCAAACATGATTTTTAGAATATCAAAGTAATGTTTGACTTACCTTTTGTGCCACAGTTCCAGCAAATCGGAAAACATTTTTCACCTCACTTGACGCACTTTTTGACGAAGCAGACGACTTTGCTCCACCACTGGAGGTAGGCCCCTTCTTCGCACGTTTACAAGACAAGACCAGGGCTTCGACAGGGTCGTCGGTATGCTTTCTTTTAACACGTACAAGGGTTGTCATATTAAGAAAATTTAATTAATTAACAGGTAACAATAACAGACTACCTTTTGAAACGCTGTTTAAAGTAAAAACCTACTCTATGCCTAGAACTATTCCAAGTAGCTCTCCAAATTGTTGATACACACTCACTCACTCGCACTTTATTTTTTGTATTTTGGTTTTAAAAAGTAGAGGGCGACATTTGACATTATTCACTCATTCATTACTTGCATTTTATTTTATTTTACATATTAGAAAGAATTAAAATTTTAGTAAGCAGCAAAATATACATAATGATAAATTATATTATTTGTTTTCATGTGCTTTTTTTTATTATGTATTTATAGCAAACCTCCTTTATTATATTTCTAACTGTTTGGGACCTTTTAAAAACAAAATGGCAGCTTACTTGTGCGAGAAACGTGTGGTAGATTTCTCTGTTTTATTACTTTCTGCTAATAAGAAGTCAATCTTAAAGGTAGATATTTGCGTACATTGTTTTATTTACACAATAGTACACGTTATACTGTCTGAATTAGATGGATCGAAGTATATGTATTGTCTCTAGGCCTACGTTATGTTGGCAGAAAGTGCTAGTCTAGGTCGGAGCCAGCCAGGCCTCGTCTTTCGGTCTGTCCATAGCCGGTCGTATTCAAGCTAGACTTAGGCCTAGGCTATAGATTAGGCGGGATATGACCGGTTGAGCCGCCGACAAGTTGAGCCGCCGGTAATTTCTATGGAACGCCAAGGGCGTCTCTCAGTGAATGTAGTCGGCTTGCCGATGTCATCAGTGAATGAACCCCCCGGATACCAGCTACATGTTCATCCCACAGTCTTGCAAAATCGTATTAAAAATGTAATTTTATGTACTACATTTCTATAAAAATAAATGAAATTGTATAATTGGAAAATCGTATTAAAAATGTGTTAGGCCTATGTTAATATACAGTATTTACTATGGTTTTGTAATTTATATATTTTTATTTTTGTACTATTTGTAAAACTTATATATAATAATGATAAGAATGTATGGAGTTTTTGTGTTTTACTATCTGGCAAGCCAACTGAATTAGACAGATGACTATAAACAATAAATTTAAATGTGTTAGGCCTATGTTATTATACAGTATTTACTATGGTTTTGTAATTTATATATTTTTATTTTTGTACTATTTGTAAAACTTATATATAATAATGATATTAAGAATGTATGGAGTTTTTGTTTTTTTACTATCTGGCAAGCCGACTGAATTAGACAGATGACTATAAACAATGATAATATTTAAGATAATAATAATAATAATGACATGCTACATGCTATATCAACATAACAACGTACAAATTCAATAATTAAAAGACACGAAAAAACAATAATGATAATGATGATAATAATAATAGGCCTAACAATATAACAAGATACAAATTCAATAATAAAAGGAATAGGGGAAACACAGTATAAAAGCAGTAAACATCTTAATAAATGAAACTTTAAAATACAGACAAAATGAGACACCTACGCAATTCATCCTTTGCCTGATGGCTCTTGATATTGATTTTGCTCCTTTGTAATTGTATATTGTTTTTTTGGTACTTATCATTGCCGTTTTGGACATTGCCGTTATGGTTTATTGCCGTTTTGACCTGCTACCCATAGGCCTACTGCTGGCCTACTGTATTACTAGTAGCTAGGCTAGTCTAGCCTAGGCATTCATCATAATCTTAAAAAAGTGTTAATTTTATTGAAATAAAACTAGGCCTATAAAAGAAAAGGAAATTTTCAGCAAGCCATACTACATTAGGATAGCAAGAATGAAGTTAATTAATTAAGTCAGCTCCACTGAATCAGCACCTCATATTTGCATAAAAAATATCAAAATAATTGAGTCAATAATCATGGTATTATACATGCCTGTTTAATTATGAAGAAAAAATATTTTTTCTGTATTTTTCAATTTGAAATTTAAAACGTGCCTAAATAAAGTTATTCAAAATATTTAAAAAAAAATTTTTCAAATGTTTGTTAATTCAACACATAGTCAAAAGTTTAAATTTTAAATACTGTATAAATATGCAATTTTATTTTAATGTTTATATAATTGTATGTTTTTTTCCCATTTGTACAGTGTACAAGAAATTTACATTCACATAAACAAGCATATTCCTGTCTATATAAGCTATCCTCAAAGTTTTGCAATAGTTCCTCAAAATTCGCTAGTCAATCTGCCGGCTCTGCTCCATGGGGTATTTCAACGTCATTTCTAGTGAGACACAATAGCACATTAGACGATGGGTCAAGTTTACATGTACAAGAACAGGTAAGAAAACTATGGGTATTGCACATATTAATTAAATGTATAACCTCAAATTTTGGTTGAAATAATGATATTATCACCCCTATAAAGAAAAATAAAATGGCACAAGAACCGTTAAAATTCACTAATATTTCAGACTTACGTGATATAGGTTGGATCGGGTTTCCAAGGATAATAAACGAAAGTTCAAAGACTTACTTCCAGTGGGGTAATTCTGGTGTAATTGGGTAGATACTGAGAGACAATCCCTACCACCAATTTATAACTAAGCTAAGCTGCTCTCTTCACATTCAGCCTGACATGTCAACCTTCAGTTCAAAGGTTAAAGACATCTCTATTTCTGTGTTTCAGGTTTCACAAATTTCTGACCAGCTAGGCTCATTGCCGTCAAGTAGCGTGGCAACAACAGCAGCTGAGATTCTTCAGCCTGTTGCTGAGGTGCCCTTCTCGGAGCTTGGACTTGGTGGCTACTCCCCAGTTGGATTACTACAAACTGCATTGGAATTTCTTCATGTGTCTGCTGGCCTACCATGGTGGGCTGCCATTGCTACAGGTTAATGTTTTATTATTATATTGAATTGAATTACAAGGTTCGAACTTCTCAGCAGCACCTACAGCAATTGCTGTAGCAAGGACCCTCCACTACTGGGGTAAATATCAGGATTCACAGCAGCCTTCTTGCTGTCGAGTTGCCTAACCCAGGCTAGGCCTAGCAACAGATTTTACACTTAAAAATAATAGAAACTGTAACTGTAATAAAGCCATAGCGCACAGCAGCGTTTTTGCAAATGGACCATTGTAAGAAAATTGAAACCCTGAATTAAAATATAGGAAATAAAAGACAAATTGTGTTTTTAAATCACATCCCATGCATGGAATTCTGTAGACCAAATCCAGTACTGTTTTGTTTTATTCGCAATGCAATTTACAATATAAGATTCTCGTTCTTCTAGGTACCCTGATTGCGAGGGTAGCAGTTTTTCCTATCATTGTCCGTAACCAACGGTATTCAGTTCGCATGAATAATGTGATGCCGACCTTCCAAAGACTGACGGCAAAATTTAACGAAGCAAGATCTTCCGGTGATCAAACAGAAGGTAGGAATTGCATATATCTCAATTATAACTTCTTTTTGCTGTTATCAGATTAGTATGCCTATTTTATTTATTTAGTTATTGTCAAATATAACATATAATCAAACAAAAATTTTAGAAATTTGACTTCAATGAATTTTGTTTATTTAATAGATAGTGCTGTTTTATATAGAAGATTGCATCATTGATCATATGACTTTGTTAATTTAAAAGTTAATTATAATTATCAATTTATTAAACTATTATGTTGATTTATATTTATTATTGAATTTTTGTTTTCAATTATCAGTTTTAATTTGATTGTATACAAGCTTTAACAAGTATATTATTCACTTAAACATATATTAATTATTAATTTTCACTTCATGTATTTATTTGCTGTAGTAATGATGGCAAGTAATGACATGCAACAGTTCATGAAGAAACATGATATAAACCCATTGAAGAGTTTTATGGGAATTGCCGTCCAGGTAAGCCTACAGCATTCTTCTCTAACACGTCAAACTTCACTTAAAGTCAACTGAAATTTATAAAATTTTAAAGAAAAAGCTGAAGGAATATTTAAGTATTGTACAATTATCTTAAAACCAAAAGTAAATTGTTATTTTTTAAAGATTATTAAATGCTTGGTATAAAATAATTAATCAACTTCTTGAATCACTGGACTCTTTTTTTGCAAACTTATTGATAGACAAGTTCCTCATTGTGTAATTAGGGTTCTTGCTTCATGGTACAACAATCAGCAATTTGCAATTCGATGGGGTAATTGTTTTTTCTAATTTCTTCAATGTTATAGTGGGTTGAGACAGGGTGAAGTTATGTTGTCAATTCTGTATAATGTTTATATTAAAGATTTGAAGTGTAAACTCAGGGATGCTAACTGTGGCTGATCATTATCTGGAGTTTTGGTAAATAATCTCAGCAATGCTGATGCTATGGTGATTATGGCTGCTTCATTGCTTGGGCTTCAAAATTTCATTAGGATTTGTGAAAAATATGCAGCATGTCATTATATACTTTATAATGCCAAAAAGTCAGAATGTATGCTTTTCTGCCCTAATGTGTGCAAACTGTATGGTGATCAATTTATTACTCTTAATGGTAACAAACTTAATTTTGCTGAGTCAGTAAAGTATTTAGGTTGCATCCTGTGTAATAATAGCAAACTTGCATCCTTGTGCATCAGGGCAAATATGCTCAGCAGAAAATTTCCTGATGTTCTGATAAAGTCAAATGTAGTTTATTCAGAAGTTTTTGCATCAATATGTACTGTGCAACTTTGTGGAGTAATTTCACAGAGAAGTTCTTGCATTCACTTAATGTTTGTTATAATAATTCTCTTAGAATGTTGCTTAATTTGCCTAGGTATTGTAGTGCAAGTCACACGTTTCTCATGAATGATCTACCTATATTTCAGGTTTTTCAAAGGAAGTCAATCTACAGTTTTATGCTGAGATTGCAGTGGAGTGAAAATGATCTTATCAATTTATGTTTAAACAATGCTTACCTGAGTCAAGGAGTCTCTCCAAGTGGAGATCTGCTCTTTATGTTTAATTTGTTTTGCTTGTAATGTTTTTTGAATTGTTTTATTAACTCAGTTTTCGAAATAAAGTTTGATATTGATATTTATTTTCAGGCTCCAATATTCATATCATTTTTTATTGGTCTACGAAAAATGGCAACATTACCAGTTGAAAGCATGCAAGTTGGGGGATTTTCATGGTTTACTGATCTCACAACCACTGACCCTTATTATGTGATGCCAGTGATTGCGAGCCTGTCAATGTTGGCTGTGTTGGAGGTTTGTCAAATGAGAAATTTCTATCAAAAACTGATGCATAATACAGTATGATTGTAGCAGTTGTTTACTGAAATAGATGCTTGAATTCCATTCCTAAAGTTTTGTCCACACCATTAAATTTTCTTTGACAAAAATCTGTTGTATGCCCATATATGGTCATGGTGTGCCTATATATGGTCATGGTGTGCCTATATATGGTCATGGTGTGCCTATGGAAAACCTCAAGTAGAAGCCCTATGGGCTTAATGTCGAGAAGAAGCACATCTCGAATTGAAGCCCCCATTATTAGTTTGCAAAAGTATTTTCAAAAATAAGCCCATCTTGAAAGGAAGCCTATTCAAGATAGCATGGGCTTCTTTTCGAGATAGTACAGTAGGCCTGTTATACTGTAAATGAATTTCAAAGAAAAAAATTATTTTCTTCAATTTAAATATACAAACAAATTTTAATATATATTACAAACAATTGAAACCAAGAACAAATATATGTTTGCTTTGCTTTTTAATGATCTTTAAAATTTACTGAGTAAAAGTAACCATTACATATTTTTTTTAAAAGAGACGACAATGGAAGAACGATTGAAGTAAATGGTAAACCGCAAACATAACACTACTAAACAATTAATGCCCTTAACAAGATTTAAACACAAGACACTCCCGCTAAGCCCTGCACACCCCCCCCCCTCCTTCAATATTGTTACTAAGGTGCCACAAAACAATAACGTACCCAAACGTGTGTTTGTAGGGTGCACGCATTCCTGGCCCTGTTTGATTGACACTGGAAAGGTCCATTATCATTTGGTATCTCCACTGAACTAAGAAACCAAGTCATAAATTTTTTTCAAGTTCTTGTTGCACAACCCGCAATAAACTAACAAATCGCACTACTAAACTTGATACCTCCAATTGGTGATATACAAAGATCATAAAAACAAAACCAGTTTGTACTGATGAAAGTGTTATTTCATACCAAATTATTTTACTGTATAAAAATTTGCATGTATAATACATAAATAAATAAGAAGACTAACAAAAACAAGCAAATGTGAACACCATTCACATTAAGATTATGTATGACATATTGATTCATATTTCCTGCATAAATAAGCAACACTGCAAACCTGTTATCTATATAAGAGAAAGTGTAAAAGAAACAGGAATACTTTATTAATGTTTCGTAAAAATATATTGCACAAATATCTTAGGGTAGAAATATTAAACAAACAGAAAGACTGGAATACATGCAGCCACCGGAAAATTCAAAATCAAGACCACCGAAAAGTATGATTAGTTGGAGTGAGGGTAAATGATGCTTAAAAACAAGAAGCTGACCCTGTGCACAACGTTGAAAAAAACATGTATATAAAAAATGTGAATCTGTATTGCTTCAATGGTCCGCAGTAAAGCCGGGCACTAACTGCGTTCTACGACAGTCACTCACTCCATGGGAGCGCACCATGGGAGCACTCAACAACACGACACTGTCCGCTGATTGTTGGTGGCAGTCTCAATGGATCGTCATTAAAAATGATCCGTTGCGCGCAAGTTGTGGCGTCGCATTCTTTATAGAATTGTGTCGGTCGACGACCATCGGACTCGGCGAGTGCCCGGCTTAAGGCTCAATTACTTAAGAGAATTTCAGTACATGGCTTGAATACAATAAAAATCAAGACAAATTTGGTCCTTCATTTTGTTTTTAACAATTTCTTAAGACAAGGAATATTTATTTATACATAAATCAACTGCTTTATATTAAACACTCATATTTATTGCAGTAAAATATAAGAATATAGTTTCTAACATGAAAGGTGACGAATCATTAGAAAGCATTCTTTTAGTCATAGGTAATTGTAGTTTCTGGATATACCATGGTTCTGATTAAGATGGCGCTGCTTATTTGAAGTATATACTCTGAAAATGAGCTTTTTTATTTTGGCAGGGCTAGATGGACCTACATAACATGCTGCATTAATTCATAAAAACCATATTTCTTATCAGAATTTATTTATTTAATCCATCAATTTCTCCTACCAATAGCCATACTGTGATGGTCCACTTTTTCCACTCTGCTATAGTACTGCTAATAACTTGCATTGTAATCTCCTAGAGCATTTGAATGCTATACTTGTGGCGCCCTCTATAACACATCTACAATAGCATACTATGGAAGCCTGGTGCTCTATCTCATTCACACTTAGCTGATACAGACAGTACCGTGGGGGCCTGCTTGTCTAGGCCCCACTTCTTACCATTTACTACCATCACCACTGGTGTTTCTACTCTTATACTGGGGAACTTGATAACCTACAATGCAAGGAAAACAGAATTACTTGGTGATGGACAAAAATAGAACGTAAATAAGCTTCTTTTAAGTGATTTTAATTCCTGAATAAAATGATTTTAATACCTGAATAAAATGAAATGGAATGAACCAAAGTTTGAAATACATAATATATTGTCTCCAGCAATATTTTGAAAAATATAACAATTAAATAATATTGATACAGTAATAACATATTAATTATTAATAAGGTAAATAAATAGTTTCAAAATATAATTAACAACTATAACAACAATAGTAATCAAATAACAAAAAAATAATCATGAGATAACTAACAAAAAATTAAATAATGATAATGATAATCGGCTTCAACACTAGTCACTAAGTGCAAGCTCGGTAGTCTAGTGGTAGTTATCTGGAGGTCTTCAACTTGTGTTCGATTCCCACACGAATCACCTGCGATTTTTTTTGGCTTGTATTTGGAAACATACTGAGCATTCGGTACGATAATATATCAGGTAGGACAAAACATCACTCCAATGATAATCCTATCATAACTTTTATTACATGACATATGCAGAGTTATTACAATGGCTAGCTGCTACCAAATTCATTCTTTACTTTGTGTTTTGAACCTTTTAAAAATGCATTAATTCACAATTTTAAATTTTGAAAATACATTTTGAATTGAATTAAATAACAATAACAATTAAAAAAATAGAGATTGCTTATTAAGCCAGGGTTTATATCTCAGTTGAGATTAACTGGTATCCTTATGTGCCCACCATATGGTAAAAACACATTAAATATTCTGTAATTGAAGATGCTGTAACATGGTTAAAGGCGCCCTCAAGCGTAAAGCGATTGTCATGGAGCAGCGCATAAATATATTTAGACGTACGTGTGATTTATTGTGTTCTTAGACTATACATTTTGTTAGACGGGTAATTTTGTTTGTTGTGATTTAGCCCGTTCATTGTATATATTTTGGAAATATATGTTGTGTCTCCCGATGACACCCAGTTACTTTTCAAATATAAGGTAATAATTTAAGTACTTGCTTACCTTATCACTAGCATGAAATTCATGGTACATAACAAATGGTTCTGGTATAGCAACAGAATCACCTATTATTACTCCTTGGCCTTGCGCTATGTTAAATATATTCACTGCAAAACACGTCCCTTCAGAATCGATCAAAGCAAATGTGCTAAAATTTGGGAGACAATTATAATGTACAGCATAAGGAAACAAATTGATCAAAATAAAAATAATTTATGATGTTTGAAAAAAAACAATTTTAAACTTTAGTCAATAAGTTTTATAACTAAACCATGGATTATAGCCTTGTGGTTAGTATTTTACCATACAAAATGCATTGGCTGATAATGGTTGGCCATGAAATACCAAGTTACAGGCGTGGATTTGGGGAAGGGTTGAATCAGGGGAGGGTGTGCCTGGGGCCAGACACCAAACAAGGGAGAAGAAAAGAAAAGACAAGAGGAAAAGTTGGGAGAAAGAAAATGTTATTAAAAGCGCTGCACGGATACCTTTATGAAGTAGTTATTTGTTTACTCATACTGAATAACCCATAACTTGCAGCGTCATTGTTCTGAATTGCATATGGGCATGGTCTGTGGCTACCTAACAACCTTAAAAAGGTGCTTATAGTAGCTACATGTTCACATCGTTCCACAACACAATCAATACAATCGATAATACAAAATAATCGACAATTAAACAAAACATTTCAACATTATTGTACTCACAATGGTATAGGCTCATCCAGCATTATATTACAGACCACCTTTCCTAAAATAACTTTCTCTTTGTTGAGTCCTTTATCAAGCTGATCTAATTTTACAGGTACTAAGGTTACTTTGTCCCCCTTAGCAGACTGGAATATTCCGCCACCGTATGGGCCTAGGTCAGATGGTTTAAATGCACCTAGCAACTGCTGCAACCGTTTTGGTTTTAACTTTCCCTGTACGATAAAAAATTAATAACATTTCAATATACACCACATCAAAACACCATATCAAGCTGTTAATGGCACCAACCCATGTCTATACAACTGTTGAGATGGTTTTTCACTTGGAAAGTGTTTTTCATGCGCGAGTCCTTCACAGGTTTCTACATTTTGCGAAGAGAAATAATGTGAAGGAAATCATAACGCGGGAAAAAGTTAACGTGCCTATAAATAAGCTGAGAACAGAATCGAAGAATGCATGCATCACGATGGTAACTTGGCGTGAAAATGCGTATAGCAAATCTTTTCACTCATGAAGTGAAAAAGAATGAAGCACTCACACAATTTTTTTATGTGGTGGAACTATTTGCCAAGTGAAAAACTGCCCTTAATTATAGTGGATAAAATCACTATAGATCATCAATGTTTTAACTGAATGATCATTAAAACAATGAAAGAATATCAATTGAGTCTCACTTTTTTCTCAACTAAATCTTGAATTTTTGATAGATAGATGACTAGCTGTTCCATTTTCTCCTTTGGTTCCGTCCATGTTGGGTCCAGAGCGCTTGCTCTTGCATAGTCTACCAGTGCTTCTTCATACTCCTCTTGATATTTATAAAGCTGAAGCAGAAAAAATAAATTGTGAACAATTTTATATAATTTTGTATGTACTGTGTAAACTAAGAGTAGGGCAAGAACAAATATAATCTAGAAAGGGAAGCAGTGGAGTAAGAGGAAATCTTTAAGTGAAAAATATAAAAGGCACCTTTATTTAATCTTTCATCAATTAGGAAATTGGTTAATGTAAACTATAACAGGTACATTTAATTAATCAATTAATTATTTAACTAATTACTCAAAATCAATTATTCATTTGTTAGTCATCAATCTATCCATTTATTCAATCATTTATTCATTCCTCCAAAATATATTGGAAATTAAGTACCTGTACATTACACAGTGGAGGATCCTGGAATTTGAAATTTAGGGGCCAAGAGAGCGATTTTCAAAGATGGAAGGTCTAGACTATTGTACCTCAGCTTTGTTGAGGCTGAGGTAAGAAAATTTATGGTTATGGCACCTCTAAATGGCCAGAAATGGCACTCTCAAAACTTGAACATAATCTTACGGTTTTCTCCGACTTTTTTATAATTTTGAAATATTTAGAGGGCCCAGTCCTTCTCCCCCCAACCCCCAATGAATCTGCCACTGTTACATGAACTTAACAATGACTTTGTTGCTAAAAAATCTATATAAAATGTTTAATTGCTCATTTTAATGCCTCAAATTATCCAAAGCATAAAGAAATGACATTTTTATGGAAGATAAACATTTTCAATTGAAAAAATAAATACTGACTTATAATAAATATACTAAAGTATTAAAGCAATTCAATGTTGAATGTACCAACATACTATACATCTTCAACAATGTAAATATGAAAGTCAAATAATACTAAACTTACTGTTGCTCTATTAAAATGTAAATCAGGGTTGCAATTCGCTACTGGATCTTTTTCCTAAAAAAATCAAAGGGTATAAGGTAATGTTGAATTTTGTTTAAACAGTTTAAAATAATAATATTACAATAGCAGCAATAGTTGCAGCAATACTGTATTACAGTAGAAGCAGTTGTAGTAATAATTAGTAGTTATAATAATTAGTAGTAGTTGTAGTAATACTGTATGTATTTTCTTATATTGTTAAACACAGTACATATGAGGCATGCCATCCCAAAAACAGCTTCAGTGACCAAAATAAATTGAAATGAATTTTAACATATGTGGCAAAGACAAGCCAAACCAGTCACTCATCGCAAAAATTGATTTTTAGTTTTTAATACATGTTTAAAACAGTAAAATGAGAGCTTTAAAATGGTAAAAGAATCATTTAAATCCGACATTTCGTTATAAAGTTACATGAGTTTAAACATACAGTACAGCTGTTTAAAGAACAATATTTAAGAAATCAGCCTTCAAAGTTTACAATTTTATGCATTTCTTAGGCAGGAACCTCACTAAATCATTAAAAAATGTTGTTTTAACATTTAAAATAGGGAAAATAACAGCATCATGATGTTTAGATATACAAAGGTTTGTTCAGTGCAATAAAATAGATTTCCAAAATTTTCACATTGCAGCTTGTTTTGGCCGTTATTTCCGAAACAGGATTTGCAACGCGTGACTGGTTTGGCTTGCCTTTGCCACACATTCTAATCTCCAAACTATAAGCTTTAACATGATGGACCTTACTGGAATCGACCTACTATTGCCAAAGTTATGAGTAAAGGCATTACGGCTTCTCACTAAAGTATACAATACAGTACTGCCATATTCTTGAGCTAATTAAGCAGTTTAACAATTGGTGACAGTACACTGGTTTTGGGATGCCAAGTGTCATATTTTAGAAAACAGCAGCGGTGGCACTATTTTCTTGCTACCACGGGCCCACAGCAGCCCAGCCAAATTCATTATTCAACTACGGTATTACAAATTTAGTTACTTTTACTTTACTGAAAAGATGATTTGCACTTACAGCTTGTGAGTAAGCACTTAAACATTGCTTAAGTATTGCCGGGTTCTGACTTCCAGCAAAAAACACAGCTAGATAAGCATTCCCCATAATAACTATTAGAAGAAAAAAAAAATCACAATAAGCATATGCATCAAGAAATTTAAATAGATTGTTGTTTTTCCACACTTGATTTATTATTGCACTCAAGTACTCAGTACATATTTAAATACCAGTGAACAAATTTACAGGGCATGCTGCAAATTGTATTATGACCACTAGTACAAGCATAATGGTCTTGAAGTTTAATACATATTAACTCTAGAAATCATGGGTTCGATTTTCCACCAGGACAACATGCACATTGTTTCTCATTTGGGGACATACTTATTAGTAATGACACAAGCAGGAAAAACAACATTTTATAAATAAAATAGTTTCAACACAAAACCATCATTATTCATTATATTTTTTCTTGTTTGCTTCTGTGAATGAAATGTAGAATTCATGAGATAAGATTAGGGTTAATTGATGATCAATCCTGAGATTAAACAGGAATTTTGCTTTAGTTACTTTCAGCAACATATAAACACCTGGCATAATTTGAGACCAGAAGCCTGAGTTATACTACCTTTAAAATATATTATTTTCCTTCTCACTTTAAATTTAAAAGATGTATCAGCTGTTGAATCAGTAGTTGCACGTTTTTCCAAAACCCAGGAGCGATCACCACAATTACGCTAAATACTGATTAGTCAAATGTTACCAAAGGTTACAGCCAACTGGTCCCATTGAGTGAAGGGTCACATCATGACTTGATTAACCCAACAAAAGGGGAGTTTCAAGCCAGGTATGTTTAAAATTGTTTTTTTTTTATTTCCATCACATTCAACAGCAAGTACACTCACCACTTACAGGAGTTGGTTTCAGTTGTGAGAAAAAAAGTCTTGCTGTGACTGGAATTGAACCCAGAAAACTGGGATTAGAAGGCAAGCACCTTAACCACTAAGCTATTCAACTCCATTCCAATGAATGTGCAGGCTCTGACACCTACATGAAATCACAGATATTAGTGGACAAGTTTCTACAGAATTGAAACTTACACCATGATGTTCCATCTTTAATATCCAACTCAATAGCCTCTTTAGCGTACTCTATACTCTGCTGAATAGCTCTGTTTCTCTCCTCGTCTGTTTTTCCAATTTGTCTTAAAACCATCGACAAATTCCTTAATGAATACTTGTTCTTCTTCTGCAATATCAAAATAATACCAAGTCATACTTCAATGTACACAATTAAGTTTTATGCAACAAATAAGTGTAATTTGCAGATACAGACATGATATATCATCGTATTCATAGGCAAATCACTGATCATAAAACTTTAGGGGTCCCAAATCTCCAGGAAACTGCAGGAATTTGCGACCCCTAAATTGAAAATCAGGACAGTCTCCCACACAATGGTAAAGGTGTTTAAGTATTAATGAACTAATGAAATCAAATATTATGGTTGAGTAATATGACTGGCACTTAAAGAAACTCACATGATTAAGAGCTCCATTAAAGCAATTCCTAGCTGTTTCTACATCTTTTTTCTTCCAGTAGCATTCTCCGAGTTGGTTCCAGGCCTCAACCATTTTGGGATCGAGTTTTACTGCTCTAGATAAACTCTCAAGTGCTTCATTACTGAATTCAGGAAGTACGTTTAATGCTTTGCCTTTCAGAAAGAAAAATACTGCCCTGTCTGGAGTCTCAACTGTATAGAATAAAAACACAGGATATTAATGAGATTTATTTTAATGAGATTTAAAATAATAAATTATTCCAGTTTCAGAGGTGCCAACCTTTCCCCAACAGGTGGTTTATTATTCCCAGACAGATGGACCAGGGTTCACATCTACCTCAGCCCCATAATGTTTCATTTTTCCCAACAGTTTTTACCATGGCTCATCGATTGCAGCGTCCAGGCCCGGCCGGCCTACTCGCTGGCACCACCCGAGGCCTGATAGTGCATCATGTCAACAAGGCATCTATGAGCTTCATATGATTGCCACATCATTGGATCAAAGACTAGTGGCACACTAATCAATTAACTGGGTAAGCATTGCCATTCAAGCCTACCAGCTTCAAACTTACAGTATCCTGCTAGGAATTTTTACCATCATGATCTTTCCCCATAAAATAACCACCCAGAGTTTGTACTATAGCCTCTATCAGACTTGTCAGACACCCGTCAAAAATTCTACCGCCACTGTTTTTCTTACTAGTACGTCACTGCAGGTTAAAAAAAACCCTGTTTTTGCTCACTAGTTAACATACCTTGATGCTCTCCAAGAAGTTTGATAGTTTTTCTTAGTTCTTCTTCTAGCTCTTTGGCCTTATGAATTGCTCTGTCGAGACTATTCCTTTCAAAGTAATGGTCCCGGAAATCATACAGATTATTCACAGCTTCCTACAACAAGGAATAAGACCACCAATATAAAATGTATTGGCTGGAGTTGAATATTAACCAAAGTTATAGACATCAATTCAAGTATAAAAAAAAACCCCAGGAAATGTAAATAAGAGGTATTTGATGATTTTTCCAGGAAAGAAATGGTAAGGTTGCTCCTAAACAAAATACATGTCCACTGTTTAACATGTAATACAAAAAATGTAACTAGACAATATTATTATTTAAAAGATCTTATTCTAAGCACAAGGCAGTACTTATTGTACTGGCCAAGCAGTACAAGCCAGGCATAGTTTGATTACATACACTATTGCATGAGCTTAAAACATACTGTATATATTCGCAATGTGCATGACCAGCATCACTGAAAGGACAAAGGTGGGTGCTGTGGAAGTTGCAAGGACAACCGAAAATAGACATAGAAGGACATAGTGAAAGTTGCATCTGAAGTGCTCCCACGACCCAATGGCTAGCCAACATATTATGGAAATGATGATGATGATGATGATGATGCATGTGGTTTATATGCATGCCTTTATAAACGTAGTAAAGAATGCTATATTCAAAGGTTTAGTATAAAAAGATGACTACATTCAGAAATCTTTAATGGAACTACAGTTAAAAAACTGTCAGAAAATGCACAATTGAATACCTTTATTTGTAGTCTACAATTGTGAATCAGTGGCACACATCATGTGGCGCATTCACAATAAAACTATAAAACCGCAGACTCAAAAAACACATGTGTACAAAAATAAGACAAAGCTTAATTAATTAGTTAATTCAATAAAATATAGTGATACACTACTTAAAACATTAAAATATATATAAAATATAAAAAATTGAAAAACACAGTACTTTAAAAAAAATCAATTTAAAATCTTTAATCAATAGCTCATTTTAAAAGGATTAATTCCAAACCAGAAACAGACAGAAAATATTAGCTTTTGCTGACACACATGGTTTTTTTTACAAAAATCACCAGCAGAATTTAAAAATTCATAACTCCATAATGGAGAGTCGTACCACGTTAAGGATGTATTGTCCCTTGCTAATGTCGAAAAATCATTAAAAAAAAATTTTGAAATAAACTTGTTCATATTGCAATTGCATACCAATTATTAACTTGTGCATAAAAATTATTGAATTTAAAAAATGTGTACCCTGATTTTTAAACCAAATAATTATATTATAAAAATAATAAAACACTTCCAGTGACTGGCTGGAAAGAAGTGTTTCTATCATTATTCTATTCTATTTTATTCTATCTAAGGAAAGTTTTGTTTTTCTGAGCAGGTGCAGATTGTGCTTATCTGCCTCATTAGCATAACAATACTACACATAAGGCTTATTCAAGTTAGACGGCTTAAACCAGCCGGCTTCCTATCCTGGTAAGCCTAGCCTAGCTAGGCCTAGGCGCCTAGCCTGGGCCTCCACCGAGCCCTAGACTAGAGGCTAGGCCTAGCATTTCTACCTAGCTAGGCCTAGACCTACTGCTAGCTACTATTCTAATGAGAGGCACATTGTCAGAAGAACTAAGATACAAATATAAAGACCTCATGCCTCGCTCAAATTTTGTATCGACCCTTATTTAGTTTTCGTTTACCTCCATTTTTGGAAGAACTGAAAGAGATGATGAACCTTCCGCCATGACGATGGCTCTGATCAACAACTAGCAAACGTCTGTAGTTTGAAGACTATAGAATAACACATTTGGATGGAACGCATACTATGAATTGATATTGATGTGCATATATTATATACAGTATTTATATATATATATATATATATATATATATAATACATCAAAACATATATCTATACGTATGTATTTATCAAGATCTATATAGGCTACAGCTGATATAATACATTTAAAGTAAATTATGTAAGTTTATTGGTATTTTATTTTGTAATATTGCATAGATAACTGTTTTTTTTGGCCTTCCATATTAAAAAACCACCACACCAAACGTCGTGACCCTAATCTAGGCCTAATTGTGCAACATGACTGGGCTAGAGAATGCTAATCCTGTTATTTACCAGAAATTAGAGGAACGTTTTATATTACCCGATGAAGAAGACGACAATATAGTGGATGTGTTTGATGCGAGAGAGGTATTTGATCTGATTCGATGTATAAACGATCCAGAACATCCACTTACCCTCGAAGATTTAAACGTCGTCGATTTATCCAATGTCCAAGTAAGTAGGGGTTTCAACACCACCAATATAGCAGTTGACTTTGGCCTCCTAGGCCTATAGGCCCCCGCCTATGACGTACATACATTGTTCTATTATTATTACTTACTAGATGATAGATAGTGCTGTGAGCTTTATGATTAATAGTTGTTTCTTGAAATAAATCGTAAATGAAGCCTTGAGAGAGAAATTCAGGACTCATTTCCTAAAATTGCCAAAATGGTGAGAAATGAAAATTTATGTTGAGTCTGTCTCTGTTGTACGTTACATCACCTGCCCCAGGTGCCAAAAGAAATACCGGAAGGAGGTGCATTTTCCAAATAGACCTAGACTTGTCATGGGAAATGCAAATACAGTTTTATATCCTCCACGATGAAATTACCAGGATATTTTTGTTTGTCAAATAAAGACTGAATTGATATATTAAACTTTGACTTGTTATGAATTTATGAAAGATAGCTTTTTTTTACTTTTCATGTTTCTATACTTACTGATATTCTATTAGTGGTGGGCTATTACAGGGTAAAGAAATGGGTGGTATTTCAAATACCAAATGTACACGTCTTAAATGAAGTGGCTTATTAAGTTATTGTCCTGAACATTTTGACATCTTTTTTAAGAAAATTGGTTGAAAAATAGGACAGTGCGGACCAAAATACGAAATTGAGGGGTCTGGGGGAAATATTCGGCAGTGAAAATACATGAAAGGTCATAACTTTTTTATCTGAAGTCATATTTTGGTAATATTAGTGTCCATATATATGTTTTTGAGGTCAAGGAATTGATTAGTGATGTCAGAAATACTTAGAAATGTAATTATAGTGGTGAAATTTTAAATTTCATGTTAGTTTTTTTTTTTTTTTTTGGCGTTACGGTAAGAGTACATGTTACATATTCTATGAAAAAAATTATTATTATTTTTTTTTTTTTTTCCAATCAATAATCATTGTAGCAATGTCTTTCTTTTCTTGGTGTACTTTTCAATTCATAAAACATTTTAATGAGCATTATAGGCCTACATGTATCTTAGCTTTGATGACGCATAATATGCGTACAGTATCAACAACCATTAAACATGCTGTATGTAGAGCGGTAGCAATAATTTTTGCAACACAGAAGGTTTATCGATAAGAACAATTTCAGGGGTATTTGCTTATCTACTGAACACCAAGGGTAACCCACCCACCCATTCTATGCACTTATTTCCATTGGTGTCCTTCAGGTGGTAATTGGCTAGTCCATCAATAGACCAACCTGGTATTTTCCAAACAAGTGCATTCTTTACCATGCACCTTGGACAGGGTTTAAATGACTCTTCTGAGAGGCACATTTCAGTCCTCTAGCTGAAACACAAGGAGAACAGCAGAGGGGTGTATACAGGTACATATAAAGATTAACCATCAATCTCCATAGTTTTGCACACACAGAGTTGCTATCACTAGTTTAGCTATGATACTCGCATTCTACAAATCTACACAAAGTTCTACAAAAAAAGTTATTAATTCATGGGATCTCAGCGAGTTAGTTGTGCAGTATTTGTTAATCATTATACAATAATTTCTAATTATTTCATTGAGTCGATAGCTTGTAGATAAACAAATGCCCCTGAAATTAGTGTTAACCTAAATAGACCTTTCTGATTTCCGGGAAGCTGATGCGAATTCCAGGAAACTTGGACCCCTGTTTTCTAAGCAAAAAAAACTAATTCAAAATCACTTCATATCAGTACTGTACTGTACAAATTATTTGGCCAGCTGTACCCCATCACTTAATCACAGAGTCCTCCCAATTAGACCTTCACAACCCCTAAGCTCCCCCCCCCCAACCCAAATTTCAATACTCCTAGGATAGATACGCCACTGCTCTTCAGTCATGGAAAGGAACAAATATACCAGACATACAGTAATTCAGGCCTGCAGTAATTTCAAGAAGTAGGGTAGCAGATAAAAATAATAATTATTATTGATTTTCTGTTTTATTTTGTTAATGACATTTGCATATACGGTATGTTTCTTTTAAGGTTTTATAAAATAAATTGAAATAAAAAAAAGAATCATAAAATGTCCTTACTTTTCAGGTTGATGATGAGGAAAACAATGTGAAAATTCTATTTACACCTACAATTCCCCACTGTAGTATGGCCACACTTATCGGACTATCGATTAAAGTAAAACTCTTGCGATCATTGCCCTCACGGTTTAAGGTCAGTCCTGGAAACAGTACACTGAAATTTTAGAAATATTTTTAGAAGTATTTTTGTACAGTATTACAACACATTTCTCATAGATTTTATAAATAACAAGCTCTCATAATCTCAAAAGCTCCGTTGAGGGCAGTTTAATAGAGGCAGTAGAGCTAAAAAAGACCTGTTGAAGCAATCAACTATAGTATTAATGAGCTGAGTTTTTCTAGAGCTCCTCATGATGGCAGTATAATAGAAGCAGTAGATCTAAAAGAGGTGTATAATAATCAATCAACTATTAATCAATGAGCCTCATGAGGGCAGTATAATAGAGGCAGTAGATCTTTAAAAGATCTATTAATCAATGAGCTGTTTCTAGAGCTCTTCATCCAAGCTAAAAAGTTTAATATTTATGAACAAGGTAGTACACTGTACCAGGTGGTAATATTTAAAAATAAAAGTTAATTGATCGAATTATTTAAAGAGAATGCAATATTATTTATTACTATTACTTATTTCTATTGTATTACTTATTTATAAATACTGTATCAGATGCTAGCACAATTGAAAAACCAGGAGCCATGGAATACAACTAGCAATTGTTCGTTTAGTGGTTGACAGTATTAAGTTTGACCCACACACTAAAAAATATAGGGCAGTTTTTCATTTTTGCCTAACCTACTTTAAAAACGAATATTTTTTACTTTTGATATTTCTTAACTTATAGGTTGATGTTGCAATTTTTCCTGGAAGCCATGCATCAGAACATGCAGGTAAATATCATGAAAAAACACTGTTACACTACAGTTTTTTTTCCTTTGTATTAATCCCCCATTATATTTCTCATCCCATGTTACGTTCCACTAATCACAGGGGTGGGGTTTCTTATAAGCTTGAACCCAGCTACAGGGGCAGCGCCAGGAATTCCCAGACGAGGGGTCCAAGCTCCCCAACAAGGACTTAGTAATAAGCATACCTAAATTGTACTTCCAGCGGTTTTTCCCGACCGCTTGCTGAAAATTCCACAACATGGGGATCAAGCGGGGGTCCAGAGGCCCCCAACAGGGGTCCCTTATCCCTCACCGGACCCCCGCTAGCACCGCATCTGCCCAGGCATTATTTTTTTTCCCATACAGTTAAGGCAGAAATTATAGAGGGCGCTATTAAAGGTTATGTATGTGAACTGAACATGAATATGCATGCTTGAATTCCCCTTCGCGAGACCCGAAAGTAATGTTAGCTGCTGGTGGAACATGAAAGCTACGGCGTATAGTAGGGTAGGGCGAAATCTCTTGGTAGTAAGTGGAGACGGTGTAGTCAACACAGTGAAAATTAATGAACTATTTGTATTGTAATTATAATATCCCTATGCCTGTTTATATACAGGCTTTGAAGGTATAGAAAGGGCGTTGAATCTTGTCGGTTATTTGAATAGTAAACATACTATTAAACTGCAAAAGTACTACTGATTCTGAAAGATATAAACATCTAGAAATGCTCGGACACAGATATTAAGACAATTCTAACCACAAAATCTCCATATAGCATACTGTTTTTAGAAGTTGAGCTTCGTTCTTCTCCAGCGACGCCTCTTAGCATTGTACCTTAGCTTGTTACCAGTCTTCATTCTGGTCCACTGAGGAATTGGACGATTCTGTTTCTGCTTCCTAGCCAGCTTCTGCTTAAACTTGAATGATTTATGTGAAGGCATGCCACCTGGCCCTGTCTTTGAATTTACAAATTTGTTGGGGGAAAATTAATTAAAATCCTTATTCTAAGCCAGAGACATCCAGTTGAGAGTGCTATTTTCAGGGATGTGGATGTGACATATGGTAGAGCTGAGGTGGGTGTGGCCTGTCTGCTGGGGAATGATAGACCACCTGTCAAGGGAATGCTGATGATGCCACTGATCACATCACACCTCATTATCACATTTATTTCTTCCCTTTATCATCACCATGCTTTTACCTCTATCAAATTCTTCACTTCATTTCCTTCATTATCACCTTCTTTTTTCATTTTATTTATTTTATAGGCATTTTATTAGGTGTGTAATAGGATCAATAGTTTTCTCATGCCTGGTTCTACTACTTCTCACACATTATAGAATGCACTACTTATATTGTGGTAATTATAGAGCATTGTATAGGCACTGCAATGGAGCAGTGTTGCATCACCAATTTAAAAAAAAGTCCTCATGTATGGGACTCAAGAAAAGTTGGTAGATACTGGTTTATACAGGGTCAAGTCATCTTGACCCAGTGTCTATCACATTTTCATTCTCCTCATCCCCAAGTTCCATTTACAGTACAGTACATTTGTTACTTTATGGCCCTCAGCAGTGGTGGGGTCAAGTGAGGGGAAGGTAACATTTTAGAGGGGCAATATTGTTCCCATAGCAGACCGGTGGTACAATTGTAATGACAACACACATTAATGAGTAACGCTTATCCATGTGCTTGTTTTGTTTTTTTTTCTTAAATGCTTGGTATATTTACTAGAAATTGCAAGTGAAGTACAACTGCATATAAATGTTCTTCGAACAAAATTATTTATGCGAGTTAAGTGAAAATAATGAATAATAAAACTATAACAAATAATATGAGACACGACCCATTGTCTATATTAGAACACTTCTCATTGAGTAACAAAGTCGTAATTTTTCATTTTTGTCAAAAAGTGTCTATAGTGTGGTGAATTATGGTTTAGGTTTTTTTTAATAAAGTTTCAAAAATGACTATGTATGTGGAAAATGTAGTTGATTACCAAAGGTTACAATTTTTATTTTGAAGACTGCATGGTCTAGGAAGTGTACATTTTTTTATGGGGCAAGTTTCCAAGGGCGGGTTTTCTAGGGGCGAGTTGACTGCCAAAGAGTGTGGCCAAAGTGCGAGCCAGCGTGTTATTTGATCACAAGTGCGAGACATATCACAAGTGTGAGCCAGCGAGCCATGACGTCACGACAATAGATAGACGTTAACCAGTTGTGCGAAGTATCGGCTGTGATTTGTGGAGTACAATTCAAAAAACAACTATAGGTCTAATAATGAATTATTGTGATGTTAAATAGACAATGTTAGCTATCAAAGAGCGACGTTGTTTTTCATTGGGACCTTCGTCCCTTCAAGGCTAGGCCTATACCATCCTAGCTAGTCTAGGCCTAGTGTAGGATAGGGCTAGCGCGACATGCGGACGTTGGTACGAGTAGGTTAGTCTACAAATGTCGCCTAAAGTAATTGATTTTACCCGGCAGAACGAAAGAAGGAAACTCCGCTTTTCAGTCGTCTTAGCCACTCGTTTTTTGACAAACAATGACCTTTCAGAGGTCAAATTGCTTTCAAGAATATGAATTGGCTGCTTCGCATCAATTACTTATGTAAAAATTGTGTTAAATGATTGTTGGCCAGTCTTACAATGCAGAACTGGAAGGCTGGGAAAGAAAATCATCTTGGGGGTGGGGGACAAATGGCCCTCGGTCTTGCATTCCTTTTCCTTTTATTTCTCAAAGCGTTAAATCCACACATCCTATTCAGTCCGGGTATAAATTAATTTATTAATATATTTAATTTTATCTTTGCTAATAATCTTCTATATTTTTTCCATATTTTGTGTAGTGAATAAACAATTAGCTGACAAGGAGAGAGTTGCAGCAGCATTGGAGAATAGTCACCTGATAGCAGTAGTGAACCAGTGCCTGTCAAACAGTTGATGTCCATCCAAAAACATTTATGAAATAAAATGAGACAAGCTGCAAGTCTGATTAAATAAGGAACTTTTAGTACAATTACAACTAATTAATTTTGCAAAACACTATATAGTTTTTGAAATCTATCAACTACATAGCGTTAAGCGTTCTGCCTCAGGCACTCCCGCGAGCAAACAGAATTAATTTACAGAAGATAAACAAAATATGTTTTTCAGAAATTGGAAACTATACATTTCAAACTGACTGAAAAAAACAATTTTATATTTTAATTATTCAGCTTTAAATTTTAAAATTATGCATAATTAGTAAGGATTTTATTTTCTGCATCGGCCGCCTACGTTGCCTGGTAATCAATTTATGGATCCAGTGGGGTGGGAAGGAAGGGGGGGGGGAACGTGGTGGCTCGGGGCCTCTAAATTTTTCACAAATAAATAGAAAATATTAATCAATTTTAGGTCAGATTTCCATTTCCAGCCATCTGGAGATGCCATCATCATACCTGTATTTTTTCTTACCACAGTACCTTCCTGGGCCACCCGCCACTGTTAACAGTACAGTATAACATTTGAAAATTGGTAAAAGCTGAAAACATAATTGGTTGACAAAGTAGAACAAAATGGTATTTCTTCATCAGTTAAAAATATATAAATAATAATAAAAATTTATAGTAAAAGGCTGTAAATATGAATTATTAAATGTGATTATTGATCTTCTATATCGGCAATCTAATCTTTGAATATTTTAGTGTTAACGGCTAAACCTCTGCATTATGTACTCCTCCATGTCATCAAAATATCAATACAAATAGAATATGTACAATTTCGTACATATTCATTTACAGACATTGGGGTTAGCAGTGCCACAAATATCTACAATGCAGAAAACCCCACAGGTTAAACTGTGATTGCATAGTTTCATATTTTATTTGACAAAATTATTGCAAAGTCAATGAATATTATTATCTTTAATGATTTAACAACAAAGTAAGAATATAATACATTTATTATACAAGCATAATTGCATAATATAAATATATATTTTATTTATCTCTTGTTTAGCCAGGGATCACATCTCAGTTGAGGTCAACTACTATACAGTAATGTGCTCTGGATATGGTACAAGTATAAAATTCTTAACTACAGAACAAATTATACAATATATTTCTCTATTACATGTCATCAGATAAATACAAGTAATATATACATGTCATCAGATAAATACAAGTAATATATACATGTCATCAGATAAATACAAGTAATATATACATGTCATCAGATAAATACAAGTAATATATACATGTCATCAGATATATACAGTATAATTATATTTTTATATACATTTAGCAGTCTTGGTATAACATTGCTACAGATATCTATAATGCAGAATTCACAGGTTAACTCTTACCATGGCACTGTTCAAATTTATTATGTGTCAATACTGTAGAGTAATTAAAAAGAGATAAATGTATTCCTCTTCAATACCTGTATATTAAATATATATAATAAAGTGCGCAGGACATGGTACAAACATAAAATTCTTAACCACGGAACAACTATTACACAATATATCCCTCTTATATGCATCATTATAAAGTTATAAAAGTAGTATATACAAGATACAAGTCAACTTTATTGTCAAAATAATAAATTCTGAGATATTTGTTGAACATAACATAGAAACATGTTAAATAAAAATTTAAAGCTAGTGTAATTATCTTCGGAAATTTTGATTAAATAAATTACAAGCGATGTACAATGCTGAATGTCCGAAACGGTTTGTGGATCTTTTCTGTCTAACCCCTCCCGATCTATTATCGATAATGTCTGAGTATAATGGATGGGATGAGTCTTCCATAATTAAATTAAATTTCTCAAGTATGAAATTATTAAAAATATCTTTTAAGGATCGGCTCCAAGCTCCAAGGATGTCATTTTTTGAAGTCAGACCAATTAGAGAAGTGTCATCAGCAAACTTAATATTAAATGATTTACTTGGATCAATATTACTGTAAAAATCAGATGAGTATAGGGTCATTCCGGCTCGATCAGCCATCAATTTAAAAGTTTCCATGTGACCCCTCTTAGATTTTCCTTTAGAAAATTCTAAAAACACCTTGATATGTCAAAAGAAAGAATAAAAAATTTCAGCTCCAATTTCCAAGCAGTTTTTACCTTTTGAAATTTAGGTACCACGCCACCTATTTCGTGCTGGAAATGGCTCCTTGAACTATGTATGGTTTTTACGAAGCTATATTTCCGGAAATAACAGATAAAAAGTTGGAAATTGCTACATAGACTGAAATTTGTTCCCTCTTTCAAGAAATACCATTCAAATTTGGGTAGCTTATTTTATTAGAATGTTATATGCCCCCTAAAGCATTGTGCGAAAATAGATTTTCACCATTTCAGAGGGCCGTATCTTATCCTTCTTTTAAGTAAGGAAGTCCAAATTAAACCTGTGATGAATATTCCCATACTACTACATATATAAAAGTTTGCAAGGTAATTAGAGCAATAATGAAGGTATGATGGGGCCCGAAACATGGTTGCAGGACCATAAAAGTACCAATTGATTTGACCGACCGGATGACACTTGATATGAAAATGAAATTAATATACCAGTCCAGAGGTACACATATCATCAATGTAAGTAAAAAGTTTATACTTTGTGTCTCAACTCTTTATACGAGTGAACTGATTTTTTTTAAATAGTCACAAATACTGACTTGTTTGTGATTTGAACTTGGCCTGATATTTAGAATACACTGAAATCAGTTATACTAAAGGAGTTAGAAAACAATTTCTAAATGTTTTCTCTACATCACTTAATTAAAATATTATTAAATATTATTTTCTTCTTTTTCTGAACCCATGAGTTTTTCCTTCTGAATGTTTCAAATCTCAGAAAAATTCCAATTAATATAGTTACACATTTAGTAGTTGTACAACATTGCCACAGATATATATAATGGACAGCGGTCTATTTTATGATCAATGGCGCCGAGGCTGGGGCATGCGGGGCGTACGGCCACAGCAGCCCTGATGATAGTAATTCATTAACAATTGTATTATGTTGTCATGATCATGCATACTTTATATTATTTTAAAATTCTGAATATTAAACAAAATTATAAATATACTTATTTGTTTATATCTACCACCTTTAAGCAATGAACATTGTGTATTTTTAGGTTACAATAATACTGTACTGTGTTAAAAATGTCTTAATTAAAAAGAAATTTCTTTTAATTTACTATTGTACGTCTAGTTATTAATTATTATGAATGCACATCTGTGGACCTCTGCAACAGTCCATTTAGCAATTTCCAGAGTACAAGAATTCACAGTTAGGAAAGACTGTTTTAAGCTTTGCAATTGTGTTGTCATCTGAACACATGCTATAAGTAATATGCATTTTTTGCAAGTTTAAAATACTGCAGTGAATTGCATCAGCCATTCCTAGAAATACACTGTCATGAAGTTCGTAGGAAAATAAATCAATTTCCTTCAGGTTGGGAAAAATGGAAAACATTAAAGCTAATGATTTTCCACTAATGCCATGTCTATAATTTTGAGAAAGTTTGTTCTCACCTAGGAAAAGTTTAGTCAATGGTAAAACAACTTTGTCCTTTACACATAACCTCACAAATTCATGCACAGTAGTGCCTGGTATTTCACAATCCCTTATATCAAGGCAATCCAGTTGATTAAAAGTTGAAAATAATGTACCTAATGATTCTCCAGTCAAGGAATATAGACTGTTGTGGCGCAATACAAGTTTAGTCAATGGTAACACCATATTAGCTGCTGAACACAAACTCACAAATTTATGCAGAGCACTGCTTCGTATTTCACATTGTTGGATTTTAAGGCAGTCAAGATGAGGACAAATAGAAAATAATGCACTTAAAGACTTTTCAGTAAGGTCATCAAGGATGTTGTCACTCAGGTCAAGATCTATCAGAGTTAAAACCACATTACCTCTCAAAAATGATATCACAAAATCATGTACAACTGTGCCTTGTATTTTGCACTTCTTCATTACAAGGCTTTGGAGTCGAGTGAAAATTGTAAATAATGCAGATAATGTTTTTACAGTCAGATCATGTAAATCGTTTCCACTGCAGTCAAGGTTAGTTAATTTTAAATTAACATTTTCCTTTAAACACAAATTTACAAAATTATACACAACAGTAACTGGTAGACTACAATCACACATTCTCAGGGTTTTTAATTGTGGTGAGATTTTACACAATTTAAATAATATTTCACCACTTAATGTTGCAAGATCAACTGAGCTAAGATTCAACTCAGTACATTCCAATTTATTATCGCCATCATAACATACATTTGTCAGATCTAGTAAATTTCTGACGGAAAGCTTATAGTCATACCAACGAAAGCATGAAACTACCAGTACTAATAACTGAGAAAGCGAAATGGCATCAATGTCAGTTAAGTCACTCCAGTTAAGCGATATACTATCACCTTTCAATTGAATACCACGTATATGCAATTCTGCCAACAAATCTTTTACAATCCTACCAGTCAGTCTGCAATAATTCATGTTGACATGATTCAACTTTGGGCAGATCTTCCATAATAAAGCCAGAGTTGCACCGTTCACTTCAGCCAGGTTCATGCCACTAAGATCAACCAAACTACACTCTAGTTCAAGACTACAACTGTCACACTCATTTATTAAATCCTCTAATTTTTCAGCAGTTTTTACATAACTATGCCAATTACTGACTTCATTTACCTTCAAAAACTGAACAGAAACATGATCTTGTATTCTCTCACCAACAGGCAGACTACAAGCTTCCAATATATGATCACAAGAGCCATCTATACTAATTACTTTAATAAAATGTAATAGTGATTTACTGTCCATGTCTGACAAGTCATTACCTTGAAGCTTAATCATATCACCCAACAAATTAACACCGTTGCTTTTACATTCGGCTAGTAGCTTGCCAACAATCTTTCCTGATAGGTTACAGTCATACATATATACATGGCAGTTAGGAATAACTTGCCATATTAATGCCAATACTGATACTCTGATTGCAGATAAATCTATGTCCCTTAGATTTAGTTCCTCTAATTCAAATTTGGTTCCACTTTCATAACATGTTTGTAAAAGGTCTTGAAGGTCATTAGCTGATAAATCATACCCAAACCACAATATTGAACACACATTCTCTCCTTTTTGGTAGTATTCAATTTCACTTAAAGCCCCTAGGTTTATTAACATGCATAGTGTTGAAGAATCAATTCCTTTTAACACATTGTGTGTTCTATCAGGGCTTAACCAGCTGTTAGAAAGACATATCATACCACATTTCAGATTAACACAGTTTTTTTCACATTCAATTAAAAAATCTTCCACAATCCTGAATGATAAACTGCAATTTTTCATGTTAACATGTTTCAGCTTTGGACAGATCTTCCAAAGCAATGCCAGTCTTCCTGCATCAACTTCGGCAAGGTTCATTCCTTCAAGATTGACTTCATTAATTTCTAGTTCTATACCACACCTAACAAGCTCATCTATCACTTCATGTAATTTACTAACAGATTTTACATAAACATTCCAATCTGTGACATTACTTTTTGACAAAAACTGAGCACAAATCAGATCTTGAATTCCATCAATTAATATATGATATTGATTAAGATCAATATTCTTCTTGTGAAATATTCTAATGAAGTGAGCAAATGAAACAAAGTCAAAGTCAGATAAGTTATTACAAGCAAGAGAAATCATATAACCTTTCAGAGAAACACCATTCTCTTGAAATTCTTTCAACAAATCTGTTACAATAGCACCAGACAGTTTGCACCTACTCATATCAAGAAAGTTCAGATATGGACATATTTTCCATAACAATGCCAGTTTAGTTACATCAACTTCAGCAAGGTTCAGTCCACTGAGGTTTATGCTACAGCAATCTAGTTTAATGTCACTGTTAAGACATTCATCTATCAGAACATGTAATCTATCAGCAGACAACACAAGGTCACTCCATTGTGTTATTCCACTTATCTTTAAAAACTGAGCATTAAGTAGAACTTGCATCCTCTCAAATGACAATGCCAAGTTATCATTTGTTAATACGTTGACAAACCTTGAACTCTTCTGACCAATTGATATACGTAATTGGGAATCAATCCTCATATTGCTATTTCTAAATAAATGAGCAAGTGACGTACTGTCTATATCAGACAAGTCAGCTTCTGTAAGCCCATAAAAGGATTCACTGTTCAAATCAATACCATACCTATTGCATGCATTTAAACAATCTCTGACAATTTTACCAGATACACCACAATCTAAAATGTTGACATAGTGTAACTTAGGACAGATTTTCCATAACAAAGCCAGAATTTCTCCGTTAAAATCTTCAAGGTCTATCCTGTTAAGAATAACTTTAGTACAATCTAGTTCAATACTACACTTATCACACTCAACTATCAAATCACGTAATTTATCATCATATTTTACATAATCACACCAATATGTGATTCCACTTATTTTTAAAAACTCAGCAGAAATAAGATGTTGTATTGCACCTACTGACAAATTATAATCTTCCAATTGAAAAGGAGGATTGTAAATGCTCATGTTGTTCCTATTATTAGTTGTATGTATTCTAATTAATTGAGCAAGTGTTGAACTGTTGATATCTGACAGGTCATTTTGAGTTAACTTTATCTTACCCCTACTCAAATCAATGCCATTCTCTTTACATTCATTCAAAATCTCACCCACAATTCTCCCTGATAAGCTACAATTTTTCATGTCAACAGTTATAACGTTTGGACAGATCTTCCACAGCAAAGCTAGTGTTGTACCATTAACTTGAGAAAGATTTATGTTTTCAAGATGAATTTCAGTACATTTCAGTTCAATACAGGACCTATCACACTCATTAATTAATTCTTCTAACTTATCAGCAGATTTCACAAAGTAACTCCAATTAGTGATTTCACTTATCTTTAAAAAATTAGCACAAACTAGATCTAGTATTCTATCATCAGATAAATTTAACTTATCTAAATATAGATATATGGATATTTTCACTAAAAGAGCAAATGATGTACTATCGACATCGGACAAGTCATTGTCACAAATATTAATTGTACCTTTAAAATCATTCTTATCACATTCATTCAACAGCTCCTTAACAATTCTGCCTGATAAGTTGCAATTTCTCATATCAAAATAAGTAAATTTTGAAAACACCTTTGTAACATAGGCCAATAAATCACAATTGATTGCAGCAAGATCTACTGAAGTAAGATTTAATACATCTAATTTTAATGTTGGGCCATCTGGATGACAGAAATTTATAAGTTCTTCCAAATTATGTGAAGTCAGTTTATATTCTGTCCATGAAAATGAACTGCCAGGTCCTCCATAAAAAAAAGAGGGTGTCTTCATAACTCCTATAAAGTTACTGAGGGATGCACTGTCAATACCAGATAAGTCATTTCCTTTAAGACATATTGTATTGATGTTAAAATCCACACCAATTCTTTTACATTCGTTCATCAGATCTGCTACAAACCTGCCTGATAGGGAGCACTCACTCATATCCACATGCTTACATTTAGGAAAAACCTGCCAAACCAAAGCTAAAGTTCTTAAATTCATTGTGGATAAGTTTGTTCTATGGAGGTTTAATATGTCTACATCACAAGTAATATCACGTTTATGGCATGTTTGTATTAGTTCTTCAAGATTATCGGCAGTCAAACCATAATTTACCCAGCCAAGAGCAGACTTTATTATTCTCTTATTTAGTAACTTGCTTAAAGAGAGAACATCAATGTCAGATATATTATTATTACTAATATCAATCATGTCACACAAATCAATACTATTATTTTCACATTCCTTCAACAAATCTGAAACAATACTACCAGATAGATTGCAGCAACTCATGTCAACAAACTCCAGGTTTGGACAAATCTTCCATAGCAAAGCTAGTGTTGCACCATTGACTTCAGATAGTTCCCTTCCTTCCTGGAACACCCTACTCATATTGATTCTAGTACAATTTAGTTCAATGCCACAGCTATTACACTCTTTAATTAAATCCTCTACTCTATTTAATGTTTTAATTACCCTCCACATAGTGATTCCACTTATTTTTAAAAACTCACCACAAATAAGATGTTGTATTCCATCTACTGATAAATTATAACATTTGCAAAAATCCGCCAAAGTACTATGTTTATTAACTATAATTTTAAATAGATAAGCAAGAGATGTACTGTTAATGTCAGACAAGTCATTATCCCTTATGTCAATCGAATTATGTTTAAAATCAAAATGATCGTTTTGATCACATTCAATCAGCATTTCTCCCACAGTCATGCCTGACAGCCTGCACCCGTTCATGGAGACAAATTTCAATTCAGGAAAAACATTCCATATCAAAGCAAAAGTTTTTCCACTGATTGTGGACAGGTCTGTTTTATCAAAACTTAGTTGTTCACATACATCAACATTATTACCATTTTCAAGACACATGTGTATTAATGCTTGTAGATTATCAGCAGACAAATAACAACTTCTCCACCAGAAGGATTTCTCTGTACGCAAATAATTTGCAAGTGAAATACTATCAATATCAGATAAGTCATTTCCTTGAAGACAAATCATATCATATTTCAAAGCAACACCATTCTGTTGACACTCATTTATCAACAGTCTAACAGAACTGCCTGATAAACTACAGTTACTCATGTTGACATACTTACATTTAGGAAATACTTTCCATATTAAAGAAAGCACTGATATCTTCAATACAGATAGATCTGTATCACTCAAATCTAGTGTGTAGAATTCAAATGTGTTCATTCATGACATGTTTGTAAAACATATTGCAGATTATCAGCAGATAGATAATAATCTCTCCATTTAAATACATGCTGGTTCACATTTAGTGGTCCATCTAACAATTTTATAACATCCATATCAGAAAGGTTGTTGCCTCTTAAATCCACCACACAGCATTTTAAATCAGCATTCATCTTGTTACATTCAACTAAAAACTTCTCTACAATGAAGCCGGTCATACTGCATTCGTTAAAATTAATAATCCATAGTTTAGATGCTAGTACAAGTAACTGAGCAAGAGTGTGTCCACTTACATCACTGAGATTGTTATTGCTTAACCTAAGCACTGTCAATGACAAACATACCCCTCTTTTGCTTGTTTGCCATAAATCATCAACTACTTCTTTTAATAAAGCTCCTGTTACACTACAGTCTTTCAGTTCAAGAGTACGTAGTTTTGGTGAATGTAAGAGAAGACTTAGAAAGGATGCATTAGCAACTGGTTTACGTACAAGTTTAAACTCATGTATTTTAAACACAAATCTAAGCTTCTTGCATTCACTTAAAATACTCTCTACTAATATTAAGTCTGGAAATAGATCAAAAACACGTTGTAATATACCAAAATGGTCCAAGAAAGCAACTGAAGCATGGACCACCATCCTTCCTAGATTTTTTTCTTCTGCACTAGATAATGACTGAATCCAATCTACAATATCATAAATATTTATTTGTCTGTTATTTATTTCAATAATTGATTTAATGAAATGGTCATTTCCATCAGGTCCAGCTTTTGAATGGTAAGCAAAACGCTGTCTTGGATATTTAGTCAAAACACTACTGTACCGATTCCAATTGTTAGAGGTTTTCTTACTCCCACTAGAGCAATAAGCAATAAATTGCCTTAGAGATTTATTCAAAGTGGTAAGAGTTCTTGTTTCAAAAATGTGATTTAAATGTTCATCCAACAGCATTAGTACTTTCTCTTTATCTTCATTTTTAACATGCTCAAAATATTTTGCTAAATTCCAAAAACTTGTGTCTTTCATTGTAACCCAGTGTTTTAGCAACTTATAAGCATCTTTACCGAGAAATCCTATTGCAAACACACGTGTGTTATGTAAATATGTATTACATCTCATTTCTTCCCATTCCTCATTGTTGAAACTACATTGCTGACTTGCATTACACAAGTAAAAACCTGCTAATGCTTCTGATAACAACTTGTGTGATGTTGTATAAAACTTTTTAAAATGATGTTCACTAATAGGTGAGTCTTCGTAAACAAATCCAAGTTTCAGTGCAAACTCTATTTCATCCTTTGATGCTTTCAACTCCTTTTTTGCTATAGATAGCTTGTTCTGTTTTAGATTCTTATATATGCACTCACCCAGCAATAGCATTGCATTTTTAAACTTGCTTGAGATATCTGATAATTCACAAACTTTCTCTTCATCATCACTATTTCTTGTGAACTGATTTAAAATGCATTTGAAAATTTCTTTAAATAGGTCAGTGTTGTTGTCTGGAAGACATTGCTTGTCTCTCCACATAATGCAAATAAGTAGGAGTAGCATTGGAGACCTACACATTTCAAATAGCCATGAATAATAATTATCATACTCTTCTTCACTTACAGGAAAAATGTTAAATATTTTTCTTGTCAATGACTTTCCTAGAGACTTTTTACTTTGCAAAGAAAAAAATCGTTTGATAAATTGTTTGCTATTTGTTTGATCAAATCCTTTAACCATAACGTGTACATCACATGACTTTATAAACTCTGCTAGCTTTCCAGATCGGGATGTTAGTATAACTTTGCATTGCTTCAAATTAACATTTTTGAATATATTGATTATTGGATCTTCTGTACTAGCTTCTAACTCATCATATCCATCTAATAAAAGTACTATCTCATGATCATGATCCAAAATAAAATCTTGAATTACATCTTTATCTTTCAGTTTTAACTTAGTTTTACGATTGAAATCTTTAAGATTAATTTGTTTTATTATAGCATCTAAGATGTCTTCACCAGCCTCTATATCTCTGACATTTATAAAAAACACTACTTTTTCATTGAAAGTTTCATCATTTTGTTGAATAGTCGAATGATAAGCAATATGTTTCAGAAGGGTTGTCTTACCCATGCCACCATCTCCCTCAACAAGGATTTTGCAGGAATCATATGTTCTGACAACGTCAAGAAATTCTTTCAGGGTACATTGCTTTTTCTCCTTGTCTTTGTCTTTCCTGTTGTTTTTAAGTAGGACTAGATCAGTAAATAGGTGATTGAGATCAATTTGAAATTCTGAGTTCCATGTTGGTGGCGTCAGCAGGTGTGCTTTACTAAGCAAACCCTGTTGCCTCTCTTGCAAGTATTTTCTGATAACCTCATCTGAAAACAACACTAATTGGTAATTATGCATCTAAAAAAGGAGTGTTTCAGTAATCAGAATGATTAGAAACACAGAGTAATAACAAGTTTAAGCAAATGTTGTAATTAGTCGTAATTTTTATGAGTACCGTATACAGTAGCACTACAAATTCCAAAGTAGTCAGACGATAGATTAGACACTGGTGATTTCTACTGAGCACGATTCCAGACATGATACACAAACTAAATGTCTGTGTCAAATAGGTTTATAGCCTCTCTTCCCACACAAAATATATGTAAATATGAAAATTAGAATAATGCATTTCCCCTCTTCTTTTTTGCTATAGATAGCTTGTTCTGTTTTAGATTCTTATATATGCACTCACCCAGCAATAGCATTGTCTGTGTCAAATAGGTTTATAGCCTCTCTTCCCACACAAAATATATGTAAATATGAAAATTAGAATAATGCATTTCCCCTCTCCTTTTTTGCTATGCATTTCCCCTCTTCTTTTTTCTATAATACAGTAATTATCATTTTTAAAAAATGGAATGAACATACAGTATTGTGTAAATTTACATCATGGCAACAATAATAATTGTACTACAATATGGAACAATATGTAATTATTTATTTCTATAGTAACTTTTAATTAATATGCAACTATTTCAAGCATTATTTATATTTATTTATTTGCTTATTTATATATTTTTTTTATTCATATGTAGTAGAGAATGAGTTAAGGCATTTGTGTTTCATTTGCCTATTTTGCTATACCCCTTTTTCATTTTCAATGCAGTGATGCATGCACTGATTTTTTTAATTTAATTAGTGCTACATAATTAATTCGACTGTATGTTATAATACCTAAGTTACTTTTCTTTAATTGGATGTTTAGTTGATTCTGAAATAAATAATTAAAATGAATGAAATAAAAATGTAAGTCTATGTTAAAGACAAGAAAACCAACCATTGCTCAAACACAACTAACCTACCCATGTGACATGCACATGGGTCATTATGGCACACAGGAATAAAGGATTAAAAGTCGCATCCAAAAGATGAAGCATTATAAACTTGTATTTCAGCCCTCAAGCTGAAACACAAAAAGAGCTGCGATAGGAATTGAACTGGAAACTAAAGGTCTCCACACACATAGTGGCTACCACCAGTTTAGCTGACTGGCTGATAGCTCTCAAATGCTGTTCATAAATTCTACATGTCAGGCCCTGGTCTATAAAAAAATTTTTTTTTTAATTACCCACAGACAAACCTTATATTCGGAATGTCACTGTGATTGGGACAACACAAGTTTTCTTTTTGCCTAATGGTGATATTGCAAGACTTTCGATTGGTAGTGAAAGACACTAAATAAACTCACCATAAGTAGCTGATGCTTCTTGGTTACCTGTAAAATGACAGTCAGTAATTACCATATCATTCTGTACATATTTATGTAATAAATTAAACAAATCCTCAGGGGGTGGGGAAAACAGAGAATAGCCCCCTCCCACAAAAAGACAAGGAAAAAAGAGATAGAATAAAATAAATGAAAGGAGGGAGAGAGAGAGAGAGAGAGGACAATACGGTACTCAAAAACAAGCAAATTTTGTATTTACTGTAAGTAATATCAATATACAGTACCAGTGCCTGTGGACAAGTATTTTTAAACAAAATCTCAAATCCTCTGCCCGGTGCTATGCATGTCAAATGGCCCTACCCATATTCTTCTATTAACTTCTATATTCTAAATAAATTAGTAAAAATATTAATTCAGAAAGAATTACACTTTAAGTATACCAGCCTGTATCTCAGGTTATTTTTCAAGAGTTCATACATTCTAAATTTAAAGTATAGTCAGTCTTTCATGAATTAGTGTATAGCTACTTACTATTCCTCCCAGGTTTACAGTAACTACTATTTCAACTGCATTAATATTAGCACTTAAAACATGAACACAATCTTGTGAACAAAATTATGGTTTGATGGATCTACCCTTGGTAAACAGCAAGCTTATCCCTTCAAATGGCGACTTACTTGGAACTTGAGTCAGGTTTACAACACTATAAATACATCCAATATTACTTCCACTGATGGTTACAGAACCTACACAAAAATAAACAAATATCAAGATTAACTTAAACTTTAATTGTATAGAGAGCTAAATCTAATAGATTCCAATCTTTGAAATAGAAGAAGCTTTACAGGAATGTATTGCTTCCATTATTGGATGTTAAGTAGACCAATTATACAGTGTAATCATTTTAATATTAATAAATAAAAAATTAAAAAATTAATTATCTATGCATATTTTTGTAACAAGGCCATTTCAGTAATAATATTTTAGTAATTATTAATTTAAATTACAATTTAGTTACATACCTTGATTAACAACCATAGTGGTAAAATTACAAACATTATCTGAAAAAAATGCAATAACTCCTCATTAATTTACATATTTGTTTACTGTATGAAATCTATGGCCTCAAATATGAAAATAATTTCATTAGATCAGTGGAAGCACATAACATTATATGCATTGAAATTTTTAAGGGACCTGTCATTGTCATGTTTAATACACATAAGGACTTCATGTAAATAATATTACAACAAATAACTT